TACAAAAATAATGACTCCTTGAATAATTTGTTTAAATAACTTTTTCTAAACAATTGCTAATCATAAAAGAAAAAACACGTGTAACTTTTTTTCCGATATGCTATGAATGACGTAGTTAGTTTGACGCTATCTTTTCCAGTTTCGGCTTAGGCGTTAATGGGTTAAGCAAGAAATCGGTCAATTCCTTACCATTCATTGTCTAGACGTGATTTAAATACATTTACATGTTGTAATGCATATATTTGTATATATTTATATATATATTATAGTATACCTAAGTGAAAATCATACGAGGGGGAGGGGTCAATAAGTCTTTACAAAATCCAAGAGATGGCGCTCGTCACGTTTAAATTATGATTTTGGCAAGCAATACTACTAACTAGATATCGTACAAAGTTTCAGCTCGATTCATTAAGTCATTTTTTTGTGAGTGTTGGTTGAACAAAAAGTTATTGGTTTATTTGAAAAATGGAAAAAACAGAGTTTCGAGCGGTGATAAAACATTTTCATTTGATAGGCCTTACATCGAAAGAAATCACAGTTGAGTTGAACGCCGTTCATGGCAAGTCTGCACCTGTGTTTAAGACTGTTTATAACTGAGTAAATGAATTTAAACGCGGCCGTACAACAACAAAAGATGAACCTCGTTCAGGACTCCCCGTAGAAGTGAGTACGCCCGAAATGGTCAACAAAATCCACGATATGGTGTTGAGTGATACAAGATTAAAATTGCGAGAATTAGTTAAGGCCACAGGGGTATCAAGGGGTACAATTATTTCAATTTTGCATGAAAAATTGAGGATGAAAAAAATATCAGCAAGATGGTTGCCGCGTTTGCTCACTGATGAAAACAAACGAACCCGCGTGGTCACCTCTGAGGCTCTTTTGGCACGCATACGTCGTAATCCGGAAGACTTTTGGCATCGACTCGTAACTGTAGACGAAACATGGGTACACCACTATACTCCAGAAACCTACAGGAAGTCCAAACAATGGATTACCCCAGAAGAACCAGCCCCAAAGAAGGCAAAGACAGTAAAGTCAGCTGGCAAGATTATGGCCACGGTTTTCTGGGATGAGTACGGAATCATCTACATCGACTACTTGGAAAAGGGCCAGACGATCACTGGACAATATTATGCATCATTATTAGGTTAGCTGAAAGAAAAAATCAGAGAAAAACGTCCTCATTTGAACAGCAAAAAATGCCTCTTTCTTCAAGACAATGCTCTAGTTCACACGTGTGCAGTTTCGATGGCAAAAATTAACGATTTAAAGTTCGAATTAATTGACCATCCACCATATTTGCCTGAGTTGGCTCCCAGTGACTTTTTCTTATTATTTCCTACTCTCAAAAAATGGCTTGCCGGACAACGATTCGCGTCGAATGAAGAAGTCATCGCCGAAACAAATGCCTATTTTGAGGATTTCCAGAAATCATATTTTTCTAATGGTTTAAAAAAACTGGAAGGCCGTTTAATAAAATGTATTGACCTTCAAGGAGATTATATTGAAAAATTAAAAAAAATTACGCACGCAAAACTTTTTTTTCCTTCTTTTTGTAAAGACTTATTGACTACCCTTCGTAATTAAAAGCATCCATGTATATCTTTTTGAAAAAAACGAGATTTTTAGTTCAAACTTATAATTTTGCGCTTGAGATTATTTGTTTCAAATAATTATCACGAGAATGTATACATCCACTGACTGGAATATAGATATAGCCATGTTTATGTACCACATATACACAGCATAATGTAAACAATGAATGAATGTAAATAAATCTTAACCTTTCACTAATATTTGGGCCAAAAAAAATTGGACTAATTTATAATTGGTATATTTACATTTCATTCACTTTTCATTTTGATCTCCAGATCGATTTTACATAAAGTTCAATATTATATTCAAAATGCCTACAAACGAATACATAGAATCTATAGAATATATAAAATACTTGAATTATGATCTTAAAATACGAGTTTTTCATGCTAGAAAACATTCCAATAAAAAAAATGTTGGTTGATTTGAATTTTTATAATAAGTCAGTTAAGACTCACCGTGCACAGACAAGAAAGAAAAATAATTTTGGAAGTTCCTCAAAATAGCAATTTGTTTGTGTTATGACCTCTTCGTTCGAGATGAATCGTTGTCCGGCAAACCACTTTTTTAGGTTCGGGAATAAAGTAAAGTCACTAGAGGCCAAATCTAGTGAATACGGTGGATAGTCTACTAATTCGAACTTCAACTCCTTAATTATAGCCATTGAAACTAAGCAAGTGTGCACTCGTGCATTGGCTTGATGAAACAGAATTTCTTATTGTTCGAATAAGGACGTTTTCCCTTTATTTTCTCGCTTAACCGATTCAACAACGATGCATAATACTTTCAGGTGATTGTTTGTTCTTTCTCTAAATAGTCGACGAAAATAATTCCACGTGCATTCCAAAAAATAGTGACCATAACCTTGTCGGTCACTTTCACTGTCTTCGTCTTGTTTGGAGCTGGTTGACCTTTCAAAATTCATTGTTTTGACTGTTCTTCGTCTTAGGAGTGTAGTGGTGTATCCATGTTTTGTCTATAATTATGAATCGACGCAGAAAGTCGTTCGGATTTCGGTGGATGTGCGCCAAGAGGGCTTCAGCGGCTGCCACTGCCACCAAACGCGGCACCCATCTTGCCGGTATTTTCTCATGTCAAATTTCACATGCACAATCGAAATAGCTGTACCTTTTGAAACCCGTCTGGCCTCAACTATTTTGCGCAATTTTATTTTTCGGTCATTCAACACCATGTCGTGGATTTTATTGATCATTTCCGGAGTGCTCAAGTCTACAGGACGGCCTGAACGATGTTCATCTGCAGTCGATGTACAGCCACATTTTAATTCATTTACTCAATTGTAAACAGTTGCAAGCACAGGGGAAAATATACCATCTAACTCAGCTTTGATTTCTGTCGGTGTAAGGTCTTTTAAATAGAAATATTTTATCACCGTTCGGAACTCACTTATTTCCATTGTTAACAAGAAACAAAAGTTGTTCACTTTGATCGACGATAAAATCGGAACTACTCGATGGATCTAGTTGAAACTTCGGCAGCACTCTATTTAATAGTGACGCTTACATGTGCAACATAAGTTGGGGTGCTCTAAGCGCCTTCTCTTGGATTTGTTAAGGACTTATTGACCCACCCTCGTAACAATCTTGTCTCTGGTGTCATCGGTTTCTCATGTTGCTATCATATTTATTATCTGGCCGTTGAACGCTCTTTATCGCTATTATTGTGCATTATTACCCATTTTTAGAAACTAGAAATTCTATATTATAAAAATAAGTTCCTGCTAATACATTTTTCTACATATATGTCATTAACAAGTCAGTTTATATTGTAACAATCTCACAAAGTACTGTCCATCTTATAATCCATATATTTATCTAAATATATTAAGTGAATAAAACCTTATGTCATTATATTATCAAACATGTTACATAACTAAAGCATAGATGTTAATATTTCTATGATCATATACTTATTTTGTCGTGAATTGAGTCAAGAATATAATGAAGTAGAACTACTTCAAACGAAACTATTCTCAATAAAATTAATTGAGCCGTTCCGAACATATACGCAAAAATGCATAAAAGTCAGGCTAAATACAGAAACGTTTTACTTTTTGAAATCGGTAAACTCGTCTAATATATTAAATAAACAATAGGATCTTATTTGCAAGTTGTATGCATGAATGAGCTTTTGAAGCCAGCTACCAAACAATGTTAGAGTCAGAAAATAGTTGAATGTAAAACAGATATAATTTTAATTTTCAAATGAACTTGATATGAAAATCCCTACAAAAATGTTAAATTCCGTTGAAATCCAACTAGGGAAATTTGAATTACGAAGCAACCATTATAATGCCCTTAGTTGATTTGGTGATCACATTATATTTGGAACTTGATACTATTATCTTAATTATTTTCTTAATGAGATAATTTATCAATAAGTATTATATATTTGTCTATTGGAACATAGACGTTTATTATAAAATTGAAAGAAGTGGAAGAGTTTTAAAAACATATATAGATGGGACTCGTTAACTTCAGGTGTCTATATTTCTCAAGTATTGTTTGGATTAGTCATAAAAATGAAGTCAGTGATCTATATCCCGATCGGAGTTTCGAGTAAAAATTTCACTCGAAATAAAATAGAGAAAAATAAAGTTTTCGAAGTTGGCGATACTTTTATTCAATAACCTATTACCGTTAGTAATATGTTACCAACTTAAACACCACTAATATTTATTTACACTTTTTTATAAGCAAAATAAACATAAAAATTATATTCGAAATTGTAGAATATCATACTCCAATCACCCAAAATTGGTATAACTTTCAGCACCGTCGTAGTTCTCTCTGTTAGAGTTTGGACCCGTGAATAGGATTTCTTCGAGTCCCACAGATGAGTTATGTCGAATAATAAACACTTTGTATTTTATATTACACTGTAGAAATACGTAATTTCAACGTTTCTTACAGTAGATTCTAACGATTCTATAGATTTTTCCTTTGAATATATGTTCAAAAATATTGTTAAAGTTGATATAATCAACTTCGTAAATGATTATTTTCGTTAAAGTATGTGCAAAATAAAAAATATAATTCTCTTGTACAGTATTAAACTCGATATGATTAAAGTGTATGAATTACTAAAAGTTAAATAATTGATTTACATTGTGCTATTTTCTTATTAATGAGAAATAAATGAATTAGACTCTAAGTTGTACGCGTACGTCGGTCGATTTTAAATAATTCATCAATTTGAAAATTATTCAACTGAATTAGCGATGCATATTGATAGATTGCTATAAATAGAATATAAGAATTTATATAATATCAATTATCGTCGGAAAAGTTAGCGACTATGTAATCGAAGATGCTGGATAGACAAGCCCAAGCTCGATAAGATAGTAGAAAAGCGAGGAGTAGAACGATGAAACTAACCGCGCTGTTAACATCTTGTGACCAGCGTTTATCGAAGCCATCACTGGTGTTGTAACCACTATCAACATTGTGCCTACGTTGTGAGCGCATATCCAAGGTAGCATGGCTTCGCGGTTCCAGTTGTCCTCGTTTTGCGCGTCCATTACGAGCTCGTTCATGTTTTACTGCTTGTCTCTCCAAGTATTTGAAAATATGCGTTCGCCCGCGAACACATAGCTGAAAAAATTTAATTATATTTTAATACTCATTGCTTCATAGATTCAAAATTTAATTGTATTAACATTTTCATAAATAAATAAATAAATTTGCCGTAAAAATTTATAGTTAGTAAGAAAAGCAACGAAAATCAGTTAAAAACGAGCAACATCTAAATACAGATCCATCTGAGTAGTTGATCTTCTTATCTATATTATGTATATTTTTTACATATATAAAATTATAACGATTTGTTACAAAGTGAATGAATAAATAAAAGCTTATCTCATGTTGAATCGAGATTTAATTGGTTACAAAAAAAAGATTGAAAACTGACAGTTAATTTCCGTTTCTATTTTTCTTTCGAAATATAATTTCATCAAATGATATTATGGTAATGTTAATTAAAATTATAATATACTATACTAGACTTAATTATTTTTGGATTTTTTTCAGCAGCTAGATACTTCTAACAGATGCAATAAAATATGTTGTCAGAAGAGGTGTTGTTTATATACTTTGATAAAAAGTAGAGAGAAAAGTTATATTAAATTGTATAAGATCAACCATGTATCGAAATACTTGTACATACATAATAGTTATTATTGTTTTGTTTCCTAATCTCTGTTCACGAATGCTGATTTCTCTGACAGTTCACTTATTGTGAGATTAAGTCGAAGTAAAACAATATTAAATAACTGATAAGCGTGAATTGAGAGTACAACGGGCAAGTAAATACAACATATTTCAAAAGTTTTCAATTTCTGTATATGGGAAATACATCGTTTTTCACTAATTTTGAATGTTGAAAACTTTTGATAAAATAAATATTTCTGAAAATGGAAAAGATCCAGTTATTCTATAAAAGTTCATCTAAAATTTGCTATAGTTCAACAGTAACATAAGTCATCCGCAGATGTATTTTTTTAGTATCTAAGTTTGCGTACTGTTTTAGCTATTAACAAAAGTGCTTTTTTGATATTCTATACCGCTAAATACTAGTACGGCGTAGATGTCAACTCTGCGATCGTGTTTACAAATGTATTCGAGCTGCATTCATTCGTGGTAAATATTTTAAATAAATATAATATTAGATCGTTACTTATAATTCCTATGAACCCGCCTCAGAAAGCAATAGATTAGTATAATGACTATGTACAAAAATTTGAAAATTAATAATAAATATAATGCTTATCCTAATTACTGCTAAACATGTGTATACCTTCATTTTAATTAAATAAAGTTTATTAAACATTTACAGTGCCCGGCACGTACAATTTTCCACCCTGAGAAGAAATATGCCAAACTTTAAAGTTTTATATCTTAGCAAAAAAAAGTTGGAGAATAAAAAACTTGACGCCATTTTAAAGGTAATAGCAAAAACTTGCAGATAATATTGTTTGTATTAGAATTAAGTTTTTTATGATTAAAAAATGAACTGACCTCAAAACTCGCTGGAGGGCACAAGGAGTGTAAGGATGGCGTGTTCGCGGTCCGCTCGACTTATCCCCTGTTTAGTGCTTCGCTTGTCCAGCTTGGGTTTTCGCCCTCAACGACGTGGCCTAAGTCGCCGCGACCAGAGCACCGTGGTTCCCCAAAACTTACGCTCTTTTGTCCCATTCGTTCAGGCTCCCCTTTCATCACCTTCTCCGATCCCGTTAAGCCTCGCGGTTCCTCTTGTCCACGTTCCCTAACTGGACGCGGGTCAAGGACGCCTCACTTAACGTATCGCCTTTGTGTGACCTCTGCCCCTCGAACGCTGGTATTAGCGCAGACAAACGGCAATCTTGCGACCTACTCGTCGCTCCTACCGATTCGAAAAACTCTTCACTGTCGAAGTTAGTTACTCTCAACCGCTCGTATCTATTCGACAGACTTTCCCAGAAGACCGCTCTCAAGTCGGTCTACTCACTACGTGCGTCTCCGACTACGCTTAGACGATCCGACTCCCATTTCTTTTCACCCATTGCCCTATCGCCTGTGCTCGAGCCCGGCGGGTTGCTGGCGGATGCTAACGCCGCCTCGCCTGTCTCGAGTCATCCTCTCTCAGTTACGCTCGCCAAAGCATGCTCTCTGCGCGTCATCCATTCCCAATGTGCCTTTAATGTCAGCCATGCTCGCTCGAGCCAATTTACACAGGGGTCAGTGAGCGAATACTGGCCCCCGCCTACGGGTTTCCCTGTGCTTTCAAATTACCTGAACACGTAGGACAATCTTTAAATACAAAATCCGACGTATCGCAAACCTGACACGATACCGAGGCCCCCGGACACACGTTAGCATAATGCCCTAGCTGCTTGCACCTAAAATATCGCTGTGCGTTCTTTCTCCACTGCTTCGGCCCGAACACTGCGCGCTTCTATGCCCACTCACCCCGCACGTAAAAAAAATTCCATTAAACGGACGACTAGCTGCAAGCCCGACACTATTCCGATGCCACTCCCTTCTCTGCTACAGAACCAAACTCGGCGGCGTCGCGCCCTGCTATCTCGCCTGTTCCGAATCGTTCGCCTAGGCAGCCGAGGGTGCGGCGTCTCCCACGCTCAAACCTCCGGTGCCACCGCCTCGCCGCTCAACCTTGTTTCCCTGCCATGGCCGTGAAACGTTCACCGCGACTTCTCCGTCCGTGGAACTTTTCCTCCGCTTATTTCGTGCATGCGATCGAGCATTCTGGGACCACTCAATCGAGGCGATTTTGGCCTTCTTTTCCGTCTTCACCGCTGCTGCATTAGCAGATCTCTTCCCGGATCTCGAGGCGCTCTTATAAGCCGCGTCAACCACAAGCTTGCGATCGGGGGCCAGTGGTGGCCGCCAGCGCTTCTCTCGGTCACGTTGCCGCTCATACTCGCAGCCTACTCGTTTCAATTCTCTCATAGACGAGAAAGACTTCCGATACAGGACTCTCGTGAATGTCGGGTGCAGGCCTTTCTTACAGATGCTCACCTGCCTCTTTTCCGACGGAGGACGGTCAAAACGCCTAACTATACACTGGAACGCATTGATGTAGTCACTCAAGGACTCCCTCTCGGCTTGCGTCCGTAAGCGCAGCTCCTGGTATAAATCTGATCGCCTCCAATGCTTACCGAATTTCTCATTAAAGTCTTCTAAAAACTCGTCGAGATTAGACGAATTAAGCTCGTTATTTCGGTACCACAACGCCACTTTCTCCGAGAGTACCACACCTACTGCCTCCAAAATCTCTTCGTCATCTAAACCATAAAAACTTTGATATCGCGTAAATTCTCTTACGAATCCGGCCGCGTCCGTGTTACCTTCCTCGCTAAACTTGAGCGACCAGGCACGGAACGCGCTCACCGCGTGCGCCGGCCTACCTCCTACTCGTATATTCCGACGCGGCGCGCGGATGCTCGCTCTCGCCCGACGTCTCGCCTGGTCCACTCTACGCCTCTCGGGCGCACGCACATCATCCGTATCCGAGTCCGACGAGTCGGTTCTTTCTTCTGCCCTAGCTCTGGCTCATGTCCTATGCCGCGCGCCCTTCGCGGTGATCATATGCTCCGCACCCGATTCCTTCGTCCTTAATCGGGACCGTTCGCCCTTCCTCGCCTAACTCGCACAAAACTTCCCGAAAAACTTCTTTTAAACTTCTAGTCGGGTCCATCGGCTCTCCCGCCGTAATCGGCGTGCTCGACTCTTGTCCGGCGTTAATCGGTACTTTGACGGGGTCCGCCTCACTCACTTCTTTATCCGAGAAGAAATCCTGCTCATCTTCTCTTTCCGACTCTGCCTCGCCAACAGTATAGGGGGACGGCGTTTTACCCGGCGGTCACGTCTCCGAGGCTCGAGCAGCCATCGGCACGGTAGATACCCATCGCGCTCGCTCATCGGCCTGCACTCCTATCGCGGCCTGCACTCCTATCGCGGCCTGCTCCACGCGATAGAGGTTATTCGCGCTACCGAACAGGGCCTCTCGGACTTCTCGACGCATCACTAAACGTGGCAGCTGCGCAAACGCGTCCCACACCTAACCTGCGATGCCAGGCTCACCCTCCTGTTCATAATACCGGATACCGGGATTTTGAGCCGGCTCCTCTACGGTACTCATCGCTAACGCTCCATCCGTGGGCGTCCACGGATGGTGCGTGTCTGTTTGCCTGTCTGTCCCTTGCACTAAAAGTCCGTCTTCTCGGCTATGCTCCGCTGCGCGACGCGGTTCTACGTGTCGTGATACCACGCGCGGTCGGCCACCGCTCACCACGGGCTCAATCGGGCTTACCGTTCGCCTATCTCCTGCCCCCTCGCCATCCACCATTCCGGTCATCCCGGTTTCCCGCAATTCCTCATGGAGAATACTATCGGGCGATCCTGGAACGAAGCCCAACGTGTAGTCTCCAGGAGCTAACGGCGGATTCAAGTTAGGTCTTTCGCACGCGATCATATACCGCAACATGCGATCCTGCCAGTCCTTAACGTGCTATTCACGCTTAACTGCCTCCTCTGTAACAGAGCCATAAGCTCAGCCGGTGGGGTCGCGGTGATGCGCAGCTTCAGCGTTCGTACGCCTTGATCCTTCAAGATCTCACGCATCACGAGATTTATCGGTCGCGGGGGCGGCATCGTAAGGTCACTGTTCTACGAAACCTCTCGACGTAAATGATCCGTCCCTGACACGAGTCAACGGCAAGATCCGTGACCTACACCTGCAATAACGCGACACAACCTTTCGGTACCGATACACTAACCCTACACAACAAACGCTTTCTACAGTTACTCAGTTGCGACGTTACGCACCTCTGGTCGGGCTGTGTAAAACTCTATTCGAGAAGGTTGCGGATTAACGCAATTCCATTTTGGGGAAATATACTTTTTAATAATTCCCACGAGCCATGCAAGGGCTCGTGCCCAAGCGCCGTGTCACAAGTTATTTAAAAGGGGAAGGCTTCGCTCCTGTGAACGGTGACGATGAGCCTCGTCACTAAATTGGCATTTTGGGTTTTGAATTGAGAGGAAAGGAATGACAGACGCACACAATGATCACTCCCGATACTCGTTAACAATAT